GAAGTGATAATACTTAAAATTATAAGGACCACCGCAGGCGGATTGTGCAACGTGTTACTTATCACGCGTTACATAATATGCATCTCAGATACAAAAGTATATACGAATATTCGGGTTTAATGTGAACAATTTGCCGATCGATCGACCAGAGGTGGAGCCTCGCGAGAATTCCCGCTCGATCCCATCGCTGCGCGCACCGCACGCGGTCCGTTGCAACGCGTGTTTCCACCGTGTAGTGGGGTCGGGGCTTCCAGGCCTGAGAACATTCCCACGTTCCGTAGCACGAGCCAAGAGTATACAACCGGAAGAATTTCGGAGGCGAGGCTACCCATTCTGCGCCGAGGGGAAGAGGAGGGGGAGAGACCGACGGAATCTCGTGAGCAAGGGGATGGAAAGAAACGGCAGATGACTATGAGAAGGGAGGGGTTGAGGATAGGGGAAACGTGAAGGGGAGAGAAGAGGCAGCCGTCTTTACGGCAAGGGCAAGGGACGAGGAGAGGCTTGTTCCGCGGAAGTGTTCCGACGCGCCAACGAATTAGCATCAACGACCTCGTATCTTCCTTCGCGCCAAACAGACGGGGTCGTTGAGGAGGTGCGCGAGGAGGCACGGACACGCCGAAGCGGAGAGCACGAGGAGGCCGAGGAGCGTCGGTAGAACTTCCCCTCGAAGAGACTCCGGATCTGGTAAATATTGCTGTTGCTCGGAGTGATGGGATCGAGAATTGTTGCTTTATAGTCTGGGGAAGATACATTGATCGTTTATTTGTACTGCTTTTGCTTTATGCTGGTTCGAGGAGGCCGGAGGGGAATAAACTCTCAGCTGTGATAATTCACGTTACTCCATTGATACGGATTGATAATAAATTATACGCCGCGATGTGTCCGAACGAACCCGCCGGCTCGATTATTTCCCGGAATATCGTTCCACGTTCTTTTCACGAGACGAAGCCGATTATTGTTTTATCTTGCACATTTCTTGCATGCACGCCGCTTTGTCATACATTTGACTAAGGGATAATCGATGTTCCTCCTTAAACGAAAGTTGTCGATTAATTATTGCTATTATTTGCGCAAGGATTGCAGCGCCTTGTTAGTCACGTGACTACTATTTAACACGTGCAGCTGTGATTTTATAAATACGTTTTGTTTTAGTCTTATCTTTTTTCCATTTATCAACATATTTGCCTAACTCATTTTGCATTAACATTATCAATTCTTTATATTAAATAATTAGTTTAATGTTTTAAATAAGTATTAAATTGTAACTTGGTCCCAAAAAATAAGAAAAAAGATAAAGCTTCATTATAAAAATTAACAATAAAAAAAACACTATATCGTACGCTACGAAATAAAATTACAAAATTAAATTACAAGTTAATATTGTACATTATCGACATTATTACTATTGTGTTGTCGTAATAATAATGTTTCATCTCTTGCATATGCTTTAATGCTGCACTTAATTAACGTCACGTCGATCTTTCGCTTATCGCACTTATCAAGCCTGCCGTTAAATGTCGGATGCAGGACTTCCCGAGTGTCTAGAGAAATTTCGGGAACCCTATAATTTGACCATCTTGCAGTTAATTAATATGCTTAACGAACCTGTTACACAACCGAAATATCGACTTAAAGGTTGCGCATAACGTTAACGCGAATCACGGTGAATCTTAATGCATCTCTGTCTCTGTCTCTGTGTTTCTCTCTCTCTCTCTCTCTCTCTCTCTCTCTCTCTCTTTCTCTGTCTATCTTTCTTTCTCTTTCTCTCTTCCCCTCTTTTTCTCCCCTTCTCTACTTCTCTCCCTCTCTCTCGAGGTCAAGACTTCCTCGATCTCTCGGTGAACAAGGAAGCGCGCGATTTGCTGCGGACCGACCGGCGGGTGCGCAAAAAATCCATCATCGTACCCAGAAACGAATTACGAACTTCATCGTCGGGGATCACGTAAGGACGCGTTCCCGCCGCGGGAATATCAACGTTCATTTCATTCGCCACCGATGGTGAGCGGGCGTAACGAGTTGTTAACGTGGGGCAATAATATGTACCCGGTGTCCCGGCGGTAGCGCCGCGTCGGTCGGCGCGGATAACGCTCGTTTCGTCGGGGCTTTAACTGGCGTACGCGTGTATATACCGCCGCATCCGGCTTGTATGACCAATCAATGTAATTATCCTACCGGTCTTCTACCGGCGCGCGGTCGCTCCTGCCTTATTTTCGTCCGTTCGACGCACGTCGAGAATGTATTTACCGCGCAGAAACTACGATTTGAAAGGGGAATTGATAATGATAAATAGTAAGACATAATAAAAGAAAGAGAAAGAGAGAAACAGAAATGGAGATGGAGAAATGTATGGTTTAAGAGAGAGAGAAAGAGAGAAGACACACGTAATGTGTGAATCGTGCTTGGACAAACATAGAATACGAAGATTAATAATAAATATGTGACACACACATGGACTGACGAAATTATTCAAAAGCTAAAACAACGCTAGAAACTAGGCATTTTGCCAGAATAAACAGATACATGTTTAGAGCATTCTGTTCTGAGACACATTTCGTGAAGTCGCGTGTATCGCAGTTACCTAACAAGAGAAGTGTCGATACCACGGAAAACGACGAATCAGCTGACAACGATGTAAGAAAAATTTTATTCAATGGATATATAATAGAATTATTATAACACTCTTACAGATTTCTTTTATGTTATTTCTCGCTATAAAATGCTAACGGAAAGAATAATATATTTTCAATATAATATTATCAATAATATTATATTGAATGAGATATCTCGTTCACAAAAAGAGAGAAAGAGGAAGAGAGGGTTTTATTGTCACGACGAAACTATTTTAAAATATTATCTTTTAGCTCATATTATCTTTTCGCGAAGAGTTTGTAGTGACTAACTTAGCCTGTTAAAATTGAGGATAGCTAGACTTATCTTCCACCGGAGATTCTTACTTATATAAAGATTTGGCGAAACTTCTTTCGAAAAAAGGATTTCTTCTCGAGTGTTCTAAAGATTCTTGCTCGACGAAATTCCACTGGTATCAATTTCCGTCGCAATCACGGACAGATCGGCCATTAAACGGCGACCGCATGCCTGAAAAAAAAACGGATTTTTTTTTATTCTTTACGAAGGCGACACATCGTAATAATATTCGAATCGCCTCCGAAGCGACTAGCTGCTTTTACGTTTAGACCCAAAGGCTCATAAATACTCGGCCAAGCTATTCAGCGGGGCCTTGTTTGGGGTATCGGCTTCCAAAAGGGCTAAACACCTCGTTAAGTCCCGCAAGCGAAGCCCATCCGAGTCCGAGAATGGGCGGATCATTAAGAACGTACGTTTATAATTCAAAACATCGGCTCCCGGGCCTCGCTCTGATTGCACCGGAACCGGTTGTCAGAAACCCTCGAGAGATTCTCCCTAATGTCGGACTGATCTCGAATAGAATATGCAAAATTTTTCTTAAGTTACGTGAATCTTCTGAGAGCAGGAAGAGATCATAGGTTAATTATAGTCGAATATTCAGAGAACTGGATATAGAGGATATACGTCCGCGCGTTATTCCTTCGTTATAGAATAGAAAGGTGACCTAACTGGATCCGGATGGAGGATGTCAGAATTTTTTTCCCACGTAGAAGAGTATTTACAGCCAAAATCCGTCCAGTGACACAGTCCGTTATCTCTCTAAATAGCTGCCATATATAGGAGAGATTCGTTCATTAAAACTGTTATTACGAATTTCTTTTTTTTTTTCATTCCCAAATAAATTTCTACGTTCCCAGCGATTCGTATGACGTAACGCAATCTAACAGATGATCTCGTGTAATCGTGATGAAACAAGCGCGTGGGCGTATCGTCCGTGATGTTTATTTCCATTGTTCCGTGTGGAGAGGAACGCGAAGTGGTCCAGTCCGCGACACGACGTTACCCGCCAAGACGTGATTCACTCCGAGTCCGAGGAAGTGCCGGGAGTGCTGCCGACGCGCGCGCGTGCACGTGCACCACGTCGGTGGTAATCCGGTAAATCAACAAGTGTCATGCGCCTCGAGCGCATACGCGCGAACCGACAGCGGTGTTTAGATTCCTATAAATATGGCGATTGAAAAACATCGTTATCTTGGTCCGCCGCGGGCATGATCGAATTGAACGTATTTCTTCTCAGAGATTTCTCTACATTTTTGTACTTTCAATCTATAATAATTGAATGATGGGCGCATCTCTTAACAGCGTATGCGTCCTGAATGATTAAATATTTGCATATATTAAATCTGCTTCATCAATGTATATTATAGGCAAAAATATACATCTTCGTAAGAGAATTCATTTTGGTCATTAAGCAAGTGGTCGGCGAATGATATATTCCAAATGACTCGGAAATCGCGAGAAAGTTTATTTTCTCCCGCTATACACGCTACAATCTAGCCTATACCCTCGCGAAGCGGCGTCCTTCGTAGATTCAATCGCGATAATCTTTACCTCCGGCGCGAGGATCGAGGCTCGCGCCGCTCTACCGCGCGACGGATCGCGCGAGTCGTCCTCGTGCTGGTCGCGCGTCGTGGCGTGTGCTCTCCTCTTCTCGCCTCTCGCCCGTGTTTCTCGGCGCGGTTCGGCGCGTCGCGTCCGTGCCAGGGCACCGCGTGCAGGTGTGTTCTCTCGGTGAGCGGTGAGGTGTCCCCTCCCGTGCGCGCGCGAGCGCACGCTCGCGCTCCTCGCTCGCAAGGAGGGCCCCCCTCCTCGGCCCCGGCAGGCGTTAAGCGGCACAGAACCTGTGCAGGCCCCAACAGGCCCCCCGATCTGTGGGAACGCTCCGGCCCGCGAGCTTCCCACGATACGCCACGGCTGCTGCTGGCTCGGCCGTGCACGCGGGCAGCAGGGTTCGGCACACCGTGCCCCTCGGACCCCTCCGCCACCCAGCTGCGGGGCGCAGGACGACGGCGGCACGGGTGGGGCACCACGCGGCATATAAATAACGGGTTGTACCCCACCAGCGCTTCAGAACCGTCACGAATACGTACGGACTCAGACGCACTCTCGGCACTCCGAGAACAGCGAGACAGTACATTCGGGTCGAGCGTAATAGAAACGTCAAACGTTTTCGATCGTGCATTCGAGGTCAAACCGATTGCGAAGTATACGTTATATACGAGAAAGAGCGAGAGAGCATCGCGGATTTCCCTGGAACCTTGACCGGATCGTCGATCGGTGATTCGGCCGAGACCAACGCAGGACGGATCCACTCTCAACTGCAGGAATCAGTTGCTCCTTGTTTTGTGACCAGTGACAATATAAAGTGTGATTGTCATGTCACCGCACACGGGCTACACGCCGGTCAGCGGTATGGAGTACGAGGAGCCGGTGTCGCGCACCTATCAGTACCGCAAGGTGATGAAGCCGATGCTGGAGCGCAAGCGGCGCGCCCGCATCAATCGCTGCTTGGACGAGCTGAAGGATCTGATGGTGACGGCGCTGCAGGCCGAGGGCGAGAACGTGGCGAAGCTGGAGAAGGCGGACATCCTCGAGCTGACGGTGCGTCACCTTCACACGCTACGCGCCGCCAGGAGGCTCACGCTCACGCCGGAGAACAGCTACGCCGATCGATTCCGCGACGGCTTCACCCAGTGCGCCCAGGAGGTGTCGACCTTCCTGTCAACGCCGGTCGCCGCGGCGGTGCATCCTGCCGCGGGTGCACAGCTTATGCGACACCTCGGCGGCTGCCTTCGACGACTGGAGGGTCCGGCTAGCGCCAAGCACGCGCTGCCGACGGCAGCCACGGCGGCTACGACGAAGACTACTCAAGTGCCGACGAGCCAGACGAACGTGCCGCAGAACGTGTACACTCCTCCGCAGAGTCCCGTCAGTGTTGCGAGCTCGTCCGGTGAGTCCTCGGAGTCTTCCAACGCAGTTTGGAGACCGTGGTGATGAGAGACAGTCACGAGCGATGACGACACTATCCTGAGATCTCCGGGGCGGACGTTCGAAGCGATCGAGACGGACAATCCAACGACGAAGGAGGGCCCTCCCGCTGAATGGCGCCGCGAGGAGGAAAACGACGAATCGCTGTCTTCCAAATGAAAACTTTTGCTAAGCCTCATTGAGGATTGAGAAACTTTACTTCTTTACGCGGTTTACTCGATCGCATTGTACATAGGTGATTAAAGCTTTAAGTGACGTTCTGTGATAGGGTTCCATTTTGTACCTGAGATGACTATTTTCTCATAAAGCAATAGCGACTATTATATAGATGTTAACTTGTTATGTTTAAGAACCTTTTTCGACGTAATGCCGTCCGGCGTCTCTATCGAGATCGTCGGGCAGTATCATCATCATCAATAAACGTCTTGTTTCAATGATAAACGATATCGAATCACCACCCACAATATATTCCGCATCCTTCTCTTCTTTATTAATCTTCTTGTGATGACAGAATCATGAAAAGCACTATATGATTCAGCGAAATGCTGCTTCATTCACAGAGTATTTTCCTATTATATTAGAATTTAATTTCAATTATAGATTGTAAATGCATACCTTTATCGTACCACGAAATTTAATATATTTGTGCAAATTATTATAAGTCAATTAAACGAAAGAAAAAGAGAAAAAATTTTATTAGCTTTTTTAATAATTTATTAGTGAATCAATCTACATTCAAGTTGCTGTTGATAATATTAAAGAAATCAATAATCCATTTTAAAATATTTAAAAAAAGAAAGAATTGAGATTGATATTTTATTTTATCGATTCGTTGTTTCGATAAATTACATATTTATCTAAAAAGCATTTAGCAGTATGTACAAAAATAATTCGCATTCATAGTTTAATATAAATAATAACAGATTTTTTCAATTCAAATAGATTTTATTAATCTTGCACTTTATTAATAAATTTTGAAAATAACGGTCGAGATTAAATATTGCAGTAATATAAATATCACAGATCATTTTCGTGATTAAGAGATTAATTATCTGATCTGTAGATATTATTAAAAAAAGCTGTGACTTGTCCTAGGATATCTTATTTATTTTATAAAATATATAGAAATATAAATTATAAAATATATATTTTATATATCTATAAAATATATAAAATATATAATAAAATAAATAATTGAGTATAATACATAACATACACGCGAGATGGGGATTTAAAATTTCGGAATTAAATGCATTTCTTGCAGGCATATAAAGAAAAACTTTATTGTAAAATTTCTGAAGTTGTATAGGCGTGGTAAGATGTAATTTATCTTTGACAGAAAAGGTGGGAAATGTGTTTCCCTCACCATTATATTTTCGTAGTCTTTATATCCATATCCAATTATAAAGATACGGTCTTGCCACTCGTATCGCCAAAAAATCACGGAAGTTACGGTACGGAGTACGCCGGCAAGATTAAATCGCATCAATTTGCACAACACTGCGATGAGAACGCTACAGCAAGTCACCTTCGGCGTATGCAAAAGGCTGCAATGTTTGACCGGCAGCTTTAATCGCGCCGTGCGACATTGCAAGAAATCGAAAACCGCCTGTCACCTGCCGTCGCCGTCCCGAGGTACCGTACCCGGAGGTGGCGAAACTGACACATGAATATTAATGCGTCTTACGCGACTTAATATGTGAGCTGCTACTTTCTTACAGCCCAGCCTTAAAACACGATTTAATCAATTTCCCTTATTCTCCACGGACGTCAGAAGTACAATGTCTGTTTCGTGCACACACTCAACGGGAGGATGTAATTTTGCTCTCACTTTTTTTTTTCAGTCCAACTCAAAGCTGCGTGAATTTGTTTGGTAGAAATATCTATTTCTGTAATAGAAATTTCTTCAATATTGATTAGTTCTAAAGTTGAACCTAAAATTTATCGAGCAGTTTTCTTTTTTTTTTTTTACATAGATCAGAATCGCGATTTATGATTTGAAAGAGAGGAGGAATCTGCGAACGGGCGAAAAGATGGCTCCAAAAGTCATCGATCAATCGCGCGCCGATCGATGGGCGCGACGCTTTCACACTTTTTCGAGTCGTCCGTTCTGGTTGTATTTTTGAAGCATCGCGTTAATTTGATTTTACGTAAGTGGGACACGAAAGAAAATTAACTCTTTCTTCTTAGCGAGGTCCCCTGTCTTACTTTCCGATTAATGCACTACCGGGTTCCGGCGACTGCGCGATCGATAACGAGTATTTAATTGCCACCCGGTGGCCGGCATATTTACTTAACATGCGTTTCGCGGCGGCGAATTAATCGACAGCTCTCGCTTTTTATATTCAGCCGCCGCTGCATGTTCGCACATCTGCATCCTGGTATCAATCATCGCGCTTATACATTTCACGGTTTCTGCGCATATTCTTCTCTCTTTACGCTCTCGCAAACTTGTCGTTAAAGGGAATGTGTCGTAACTCTAGCTTTATAGTTATTAATCATGCGAGGTAGGTTGATCCTCGTTACTAGGGAATCAACTGTATTTACTGTAAAATATTTCTCTACCTTCGAGTTTCTGTAGCTTTTATCGTATCTTACAGACAGCATTTCTCGTCGGAAGAAATTGGGGAATTATTGGCAAGACTTCCACCAATGACGAAGACTAGATCTTTATTGTTGCGAGAGCAAGTAGGCAATTATGACAAATTTCAGAAAAAAAAAAAAAACGTTAGTCGACAGTAAGACGAGCAATGTTTCTAGGATAGGTATAAATTGCAGCTGCAATTCTTTTCTTTGTATTTTTGTTTGACTTCCATGTTATCCCTTTGAAAATCTCACGGTAAAATGTATCAATCGTTTCGCACGCGAGCGGAAGTGTACCAGCTTCTCATTCAAGCGCAATGTGCGATTGACAGACGCGCTACTCGCATGCGAATGATTGCACTCGCAATTATTGAGATGTACAAGCCGCTCGTTTTTCTTATGATTCTCGAGCGTTTAAATGCAACGAGACGTGACACTGCGCAAATCATTAACAAAATATTTTTTCAGTAGAATCAGCTAAAGTAGCATGTTAAAAAAATTGAATAACCAAGAGAAGCCAGAGAGCTATATCTTTGGAACCTATATATTATACGTTTGTCTCACAAATTAATAATAATCGTAAAATACCTCTAAACAAAATGATATATTGATGTAGCACAAATATTTTGATTATGTGTAAAATATTTAAAAATATGCTTAGAAAATATGGATGAACAATGACTGCACGAAAAATACAAGTCAATGTACGCCAGTTCAAAATTTGAGGATAAACGGTCTTCGAATTGACTTATAAGTTACCCGTAATGGTCTATCGAAACGTAAATTATTGCTATGGTGTAAATTCCCCTGTTATTTTTTCGCGGTACTTAGCCTCACGATTTCGCAATTACATACCGACGGGCCGCGTGTTTTTTTAAGATCGTTATTATCCTCCATGTTTGTGCGTGCGTTTCTCGAAATGTTTTTCCCGCAAATTCCCATGCTGCAAGAAAACAGTTAATCGTCGTTACCAATGAGAGTTACGATATCCTATAAGAATCCATCATTACGATCTCTCGACAATTGTAATAATTCGCGAATCAATTGTTGTGTTTCAGGTGTTTGTGGCCGCGTCGTCATAATGCTAGCAGCTGTTGGCATTTGAACAATACGGATTGGTATGTACCTTCCCTTTTACAAATCTCCCTCACGGCCGTGCACGCTTAATTTTCTGACACGTGCATTAAGACGCTTACGTCGCGCGCTGATGCGATCTTGGATCATCGTTATTCGATCCAGACGGGTCTCACTCACGGTCGCTGTTGTTATGCAGAAATTGCTTAGCGATGTAATTGCCAATGCTATAAACGCTTTATCTCTTAACGTTTTACAGCATTCGGTTTTGTGACCGTCAATCTTTTACGATTCTTATATCGTATTTTGACATTGTCTTACTATGCGTTATCAAACGTTGTCTTACTGTTTATCACATGCCTTCGAAAGTCTATGAGTTAAGAAATGTAAATTGAACAGATTATTTTCTTTTCTTTTAAGAAAAATATTACATAAATGTTTCGATTACTATTTTTATCAGGTATACAATTACCAAGAATATTCAAGGTATGTTTTCTAAGAATTTTTATAATACATATGATACATTTTCCCCATTTTAATGATGGTGGCAGTTAATTTTTTTAAATCGATTAAAAATTTAGTTAACGATGAGTTTTCTGCATTGTGAAGTTGTTTACGTCGTTTACATTCTGCACTATGGCGTTGTTTACGTTCAACAGGATTTCAGATAGAATACAGCGATAAGTTGCGGAGAGAAAATATTTTCTGGGAAAAATTTCGTTCAGAGGCTAACGTGTCTGCCGATGAAATTGAATTTTAATCGAGTTTTACATGTCAATCTCCCCTCACTGTAACAAGTAAATCGATTTTACCCGCAGCTGCTTGTTTCGTGTTACTAATAACTTGCGGCTATATATATTCGACAACATATTTATAACATATATGAGTAGCGGCCACTGCGATGCTACTCAATTATGCCCCTAAGGAAACTGGTCGCAGTACTTTGTAATCTCCCGAAGAAAAATTTGCATGCGAAGTATCACTTTATAACAATAATAATAACGATGTGATGATCGCGACATCTCGATTATATCGACACATATATCGAACCAAACAGAGCAAATCGTAATTCTTGATAGGTCGTGACATGTTCATCTCTAACAATCCCGCTTCTTGGAGATGTTCGATAGCGGTATTCTGTACCGTATTAACGGTATTCGTCGGTGGCTTAATTGTTTAAAGATGTCCACGTCAACAGCGGCAAATCGACATGATTCTGCGATTACGAATTACGGATTACGAAATTGCGTCAATTTGCTATTGCCGTTATCTGAAACGAGTTTGTTCAAAAATTAAAGAGATACCGATACAAATGCGAAGGACGTAGAACCGTACGTTCGAAGAGTCAAAATTAAATTGCCGTACGTCACGACGAACCCTTTGTTTTCCCCCCGTATGTTGCAGGCTATTCGAGATGGACGTGATCGTGTATAATCAGCACGAAACTAGTAGCATTGCGAGCAGCACTGACGGCGCCGAGACTCAGTATGATGAGGAGAGCGTGCCTGACCTCGATATCGACGGAGACCTGCTGTCGATCGACGATGATAAACGGAACAAGCTACCCTTCCGCAGGAGCTTATTCGATAATGTGCCGCCTTACATCGCCTTCCATCCGTTTGACAGCAAGACCGGCTCGGCGCTGCCGTACGAAGTGACGAGACACCTTAAGTGGCACCTGACTACGATAACACCGGCATTAGTGCGTCGCACCGTCGCGAATTCCGGTTACCGGTTGATGAAGAAGTGCCGGTATTGGTGCGGCACCTGGGGCAAGCACATGA